CAGGAAACATTTTCTTCTGGATGCTCACTAATCATTTCAATTACTAGATCACTGATGCCCATTTTCAAAATACAAATGTCACAATTATAGTAACATACACAATCATATTTACTAAAACCCTATAGCAGTGACTTATGAATTATTTTCACATACATTATATATATTCACTTATAATTTATTTTAGCACTTATAATAAATTCAATTTATTAACTAGGAATTTTCAATATTTTTCTTGGGTTTCCAAAAATTAGAATTATATTGTCTACAAGTAATAATAATTAAGATTTTTAAAGTGTTACAGCTCCACTTTCTGGTTCCTGTCTTACATAGACTAGGGCCTCGGAACAATGCTAAAAAAATAGTAATATTGGAAATTTTTGCTCTTAATTTTAATGAAAGTGCCTCCAAATTTTCAGTTTTGAAAAGTCAGCTATAATTAAATGCTAGTGGTCAGCAGAGAACACACAGCATAGCAAATGATCAATATAGATTTCCTGCATAAATACTATCATAAAAATAATGATGTTATCTACTTTCTTTCTAGAAGATGGTATTGGCCCATTATGTTTTCATATCACAAGCAGCAATGTTGCTCATTAGTGGTTAAAAAATATTAAACAAATGTGCACGTAGGGGCCTCCCTTTCCTGGAAGTCGTCCAGTCCATAGCATGTGCCCACACAGCCACAGTGTGAAATGACCATACAGCATACTCTAACATAGAGGAAAACTGCCTGCAGGTGGCTAGCAAATGAAATGATAAAGGGCAATTGGATTAAATATGATTAAATATGCAGCTTGAAAAAGAACGCTGATAAAGTCCAAATACATGTTTACTTGAAGCCATGACTGCATCTTCCTGCGGCTTCACTTCCTCTTCTGTAAGATGAAGATTGCATGTATTTATATGAGGGTCGTGAATATTACATAAGAAAATGTGACTAAGAGAGCCAGCAAACAGACACACCTGGGAGCACACATGAATAACAGATATATTATTTATATTATCAATAACCTGACATGCTAGATATAAAGACATAGAAAGCCAGATGTGTGCTATGTTTTCGTCTAATAAGGATTATAGTCTATAGATAGGACAGAAGGGGGAAACAAGAAATATAGCTGTTTTAGGATAAAGAATCATGGGTTAATTTTTTAGTGAAAATTAAATTGAGAGAAATGGCTATTTTTTCTGTACTTTGCTTTATTCTGTCCTTTTCCCAGTGAAGAGAAAGTAACAGTCACCTCTCTAGTACCTCTGTTCCGCCCCAGCGAGCTGGGGTGAGAATGCCCAGTATTTACAGGCATTGTATAGATTCCATACTGACACCACGAACAACACATCACAGGATCAAGGGCGAAACTCAAAGGTGACTCAAACATATCTTTTCCCCTTTGCCTCCCAAAGCAGTGTTTCTTCAGTCTCTCACTGAGGGGATTTCAGCCCTGGCTGCAAGCCCATTTGTCACGCGGCTGCAGCCTCCTTATCTCACACAGTCGCCGTCCTTGAAAAAGTGGCCCGTCACCTCCTCGCAGATGAGGAAGCTTTAACCTCAGCTCTCTCTCTGGCTGGAAGTGAGCAGGACCATCTTAACCTGAGGCACCTCCCCTGAAATCTGCGTCTCCTACGGGCACCAACAGTAGCTGATTTTACCTTCAGATAAAGTGTTTGTGCATATGAAACAGCTGTTAACGCACATAAGAGCACCTTTTGAACAGCATGTAATTGGCACCACGGAGAGGCTGTCATTGATGTAGGGACACTAGTCACCACACGCCCTTCTCCAGAGCAGCGGCGGGCTGGCGGCTGCTTCCCAGGCAGCGGAACGACCAGACTCCACGCCACAGCGTGGGCAGTCTCCTTCATGAGCTCACCCAGCAAGGCTGAGCTGCCGCTGTCGCAGGCGTCAAAATACAAAACCGATCCCCTCCTTCAGACCCACACAAATGTAAAAGGCGGCAGAGCTGACTTGTGGGCCCTGGACTCCTGTTACCCGGTGTCAGGAGCCAGCGCTGCACCGCTGCCGGGTCCGCTGGATCCAGACCCAACCGAAGCCTCTGGTGAAGGGAGTCCCGGCTTCAGGACACCAAACAGTCACCAGCTTCTGGCTTGGCCCTGAGCGGTTACACCCCCCACCGAGGCCAGGAGTATTTAGAGCAGTATTTAGACCAGGGGTGGGCAAACTTTTTGACTCGAGGGCCACAATGGGTTCTTAAACTGGACCGGAGGGCCGGAACAAAAGCATGGATGGAGTGTTTGTGTGAACTAATATAAATTCAAAGTAAACATCATTACATAAAAGGGTACGGTCTTTTTTTTTTTTTTTTAGTTTTATTCATTTCAAACGGGCCGGATCCGGCCCGAGGGCCGTGGTTTGCCCACGGCTGATTTAGACACACGAGTACTCCATAAACCGTATTATTACTCTTCAGTATAGTCATTAATTATTATTATTGGATGAGAAAATAGAAACAGTACATAAATTATCCTCATGTCCACTTCTGAATACTTATGGGTTTTATTAAATAGAAAATGGTGGAAATGGAGCTAAAGTTTAAATATTGGAAGAGGGTAGCGATTTCTGACAGATTTTCCATTTCCATGCAGAGAAGTAAGGAGCAGAGGTAGGCACTGGGGAGGGTGCGGTGCAGGGCCGGGAACCCGGCGCCGGGAGCAGGGGGAACTCCGGCTCTATCATCACAAGCCGTGGATCTCAGAGGCCTGTGACTCCTCTAACACACAGACAGGGTGACCCCCTGCAGGGCCGCTTCTGGGATTCGCTGCGGGGACCTGCACTCGGCACACATTCCATGGTCCCTCTGCTCCTGGCGAAGCCAGTGGTGAGGGCAAGTCCTTCAAGGGCAGCACCCATTGCTCAGAGAGAGACTCAAGGTCCTCAAATACCTGAAGGACCCAGTGAACACTGCTGCTCTCCCTCTCCTTTAACCACTCAGGGAGTGCCACCCACGGAGCTCCTGCTCACATCTGCACACAGCTGCTTGTGACCTGTTTGCTTCCACATGAAAAGCAACGAGCTGCCCAGAAATCTGTTGGTAAATTATGGCGAATTAACACAGATCAGAGTCAGTCTGCAAGCCCCCGGCCACTCGATGTGAAGCCTCTCCATTATCCAGGCAATCACCCCGCTGGTGTGTAAGGGGAGGCAGTGCAGTCTAACCGTCGCCGTCCATGCCAGGAACACCACTGAACGCCAGCTGTCCTGACTCTGCCACTTTAAAGGTGATCTGGACACGTTTTTAACATCTAATGTTCATTCAGTCAACAAATATTTAATGAGTGTCTTTATGATCCCTGTTCTCATGGAATTTATTTTCTAATGGAAGAAGACAGACACCATATAATGAACAGAGAGAGGGACACAAGGATAGGTAGGAAGAACTTAGCGGAGTGATTAGAAGAGTTAAAATGGTCATAAAACAGACCGTGACGGGGCCACTAATTTAGGGTGTAGTCATTTTAGAACTGGTGACATTTAAGCTCAAGTCTGAGGAAGGAACTTTTCCTTTCTGGACATCCATCTCCTTTTCTTTTTTAAATCCTCACAGGAGGACATTTTTTCCAATGCTTTCTTTTTTTAGAGAGTGAAAGGGAGGCAGGAGAGGGTAAGGGGGAGAGGGAGGAGGAGGAGAGAGACAGAGAGACAGAGAGAGAAACATCGATGTGAGAGACACACATCAATTGGCTGCCTCCTGCATGTGCCCCGACTGGGGCCAGGAAAACTCCAAGCCCCAGGTTCCTTTTTTCGTAAAAACACAGGAAAATATACTGAGTGACGAGGATGGAAGTTTTTTAAGGGCACGTCAGTATTTTGGCCCACACTGTTCATGCGCCAGTTAACTAGAAAATTACAAAACCTGAAAAACTCAGATAAATTGCACCCAGGGGATTAACACACTAAACGCACCCGCCCCCTCCTCTACCCGTCCCCCACCCCCACCCCAAGCTGGGGCACATTTCCGGAACAGAGATGAAGGCCTCTCAAGCTGTTGAAAATGAGGGCCTCTGGATTTTTAATTCTGTTAACTCATCATTAGAAAACTAGAAATGCTGTCTCTCTGAGACGAGTGGGGCAGCAGGCTGCACAGACTCGGTGTTAATTTTGCAGGAGCTGGCCTGGTTCCCGGCATCACATGGATTTGTGGAGCCACTACCCCGGGCACCTCGGGGACAATTAAATATTAAGTCCCTCTTTGATGGTTGCAATGTTGCTGGAGGATCCCCAGCCACAGAAAAGGCAGCAGTGCCTCATTTTCTGGTCCCTGAACATGGCAATATCGTCATCTATCCTCATCTTTACTCCGAGAACCCATCGCCATCCTCATGTTCCCGCTGAGCATGCAGAGGGACAGGCAGACACAGAACCTGAGAAGCCGGGAGGCCGACACTGTGGGGTCTCAGGGCGTCTGGAATGGGAAGATGAAGACCCTGAGTGTGTGGGGGAGAAGTGACAGACAGCGGAGCCACCCTCCCCAGCTCCCCTAGTGATGGAAACGGTCAGATATGGTTCCAGAGGAAAGATGAGCGAGGGAGTCGAAGGAAGGATGGTGTGGAGACACTAAATCTCCTGCGGTCGCTATGCTGTTTCTGGCCCGGGACAGGAGAGGGGAGAGGGCCCGAGAGTCCCTGGGCGGAGCAGGAAAGAAGTGAACCAGCTCAGCTGCCACTGCGCTTCCCTTCAGCCCTGCTTCTCCCCGGGAAAGGGGAGCCACCACAACTAACCAACACAGGGGAGGCCCTGACTGTATCTCATGAAGAGAAACACGACCGACCGCGCGTGTGAGCAGGAAGCCAGCGGCTCTGCACAGGCACAGGCAGCATCTGGGAAAGTGCAAGGGCCTCTGCACAACGTCGCCCCCAATAGCCAGCCGGAGGGGCGCCCTGTGTCAGGCTGGCTGCTTCCCTGGAGGCAGCGTCAAGTGAGCACCCAACGACCTCCGACTGTGACCAGGGAGAACATTCCAAAGCAGCGCGCTCCTCACCTGCCGCTGGGGCCACGTGGCCTTGAGGATGGCGTCCGTCCGGAAGAACACCAGGAGCCTGCCGTCCTCCTCGCTCAGCTCGAACGACTGTCCCAGGACCTGCAGCGCGTGCACGCGGGGCCTCACGGGCCGCGAGTCATCAGCACAGAAAGGCCGCAGCCACTCCAGCAGGTCCTCGGGGGACACCAGCTCCTCCCTGCGGGGCAAGGTCAAGGGTCAGACAGGCGCGCCAAGTCCTTCCCTCTCCAGTATCAAAGGTGGGGACTGACCTAAACACTTGTTTCTTGGGTGACTGTACTTCTTCTTAACTTGAGAGCAAAAGGTTAGGTTTTCAAAGGCTTACAGCAAACCACATTAGCTACTTAAAAACTACATAAATAAGTATAATTTTTGAACAGTATCACATTAAATTGCGTTACCTAAAACTGATAAAAATAACCATTAATCAACATGTCCTTAGCTACTCTGTTTCTTATGCAAAGTTTAGTAAGTAGTATGCTTATTTCAATGAACGATAATCATAGCCCCAGGCATCACTCAGGAATTTTATATAAACTATTACTATTGACAATAACTATGCAAAGTCAGATGGTAAGTTCCATTTTACTTTACTTTTCTACTTTTACTAATACATAGTTGACATATAATGTTGCATTAGTTTAACATAATGATTTGATATATGTATATACTGCAAAATGATCACCATGATAAATTTAGCTAAATCCATATAACCTGAGATAGTTTCAAATTATTTTTTTAAATTTATCATTGAAATTATTACAGATGTCCCTTTTTCTGCCCTCACTGTGCTGAGGGTTAAAAGTTATGACTTTGTCTTTCTTCATCTTTTTTAAGCCAAAAAAAAAAATTCTCTGAAGCTTTTTTTGTGAAAAAGCCTTTGTAATTTTTCTGTGAAATAAAAAGTAAGACCTTGCTCTCTATTTCCATTCCCTAATGTGTTCCTCTTTGGAACCCGAAGCTTAAAAGCTAGTCCGTATGCAAGACCCACATTGGATTCCTCTGTGTGTCTGGCTGGAAACTCACTAAGAAAAACACGGCCCTCTAATCTCGTTGTGACGTCCCCCGTGGGCAAGCCTGGGAAGCCCCGGTGGGAGGGGCTTAGAGCAGAGCCTGGGAAGGTCCCTTTCATCGAGGAGGCCAGGCCAGGCCAGGGCAGCAGGACCTGAGAGCAGCGGTGACAGCCGCCCTGGGGAGCTGCCAGTCAGCCCTGACGGACAGGTGTGTGGGAAGGCAGTGCGCCTCCTCCGGGGGGCGCTGCATGCTTCCCGCGCAGGGCAGCATCTCCCTGCTGTGTTCTGCTGAATCCACAGCTGCCGGCACCTTCCTCAGCCAGGAGGACTTTACCCCTCCTCTAACACTCGGATTCCCGAGACCAGGCCCGATGGCACCCTGGGGCGTCCTGCGCTGACTCCCCAGCAGCGTAAACCACGCCCTGCACTTGGCTTTCTGCACAGCTCTCCCCACGCTACAGCAGTCACCAGGGCCAGGGCAGGCTGGCCGCCCTGCAAGGCTCCCAGCTCCCAGCTCCGAGCTCCGAGCTCCTCGGTGGGAGGTTATTTCCTACCCATAGTCAGCTCCTCGTGACTTCCCAGGGCATGGCACCCAGTAAACACGCAAAAGAAAGCAAATAAATATCTCATGAGAGTGAAAGGCCTGAATCAGCCACTGCTGCAGGTTCCTCACCACCCAAAGGTCCACGAGCAGCAGTCCAGAGAAGCTGTGCAAGGTCAAGTGCAAGGTCAAAGGCAGAAAAGCAGAGGCCCTGCTCGCTGTGTCTCCCACACGCACCTACATGGCTCATCCTATACTCCTTCATCCAGACCTCGGGCACAGAGCAAGGCATGGAAATACGCCATCGAGGCAACTGGGTGCTAAGTTGTGTCTGAGAGCCAGACTGGAGCCCGGTTCTAGTCCCAGGTCTGATCTGGGAAAAGTCAATTCCCCTCTCTGAGCTTCTAGCCTCACCCGAACATGGCAGCAACATACGCAGCCATCAAAAATAGTAATCATTAAACCTATAAAGATAAAGATGTTATAACAGCAAATACCATGAAATGTGCGTGTTTATAAATCTTGATCAACACGATATCAAAATGCATCTGTACCTGAACAATAACGGCATAGAAGTTAATAACACAAACAAGAACTCTATTACTGAATGGAACTACTGGGAGTTTTCTCAAACACTTCTTCATTATTATTAAATCACATTTTCCATTAAAAAAGGAAAACTGGGACAAAGCCTTCCAGGGTCGACATGGATATCAGACGTAGGAGAGATCTTTGTAAACTCAGGAAGTATCTAACCATTCATTCATTGTGGCTGCTATTCCTATCACTGCCATTACAAGCAGATGAGAAATTCTTTCTAAAAACGGCATTAGAGACACATACCTTCTAGATTTATACAACGTGAACACTTAGTCCTCAGACAAGACAGATCTAGCATACAGAAAGCTTTTTAAAAAACAATGTAACATATACTCGAGGAATTTCCATACTTAGTCACTACAGTTAGTGGTGACAGCTGTGTCCCTTCTCTAAGCCCAGAGAGCCCTCTCCCTGGCCGCCCTGGGAGGAAGGTCAGGAGACCAGGCTCTCTCAGCAAACAAGGCTCAGGGCAGCAGGTGAGCAGAGCTGACGGGGTACATGCAGCTGGGGAAGCCGTGTGTGCACCTGCAGAGACACTTTCAGTTCTGCAGAAAGCACTCAGCTTTCTTCCAGAAACGCCTCAAAACAGTGCTTAGTCTTGGAAGCATCTCACACACACACACATGTGATTCTGAGGCTCTGAGTGAGATCGCCAGCCTGTTCCAGTCTTACCCCTTGTCCACGCTGGCACGGACGGCTGCTACGACGCCTTCCAGGACCTGGAGTGGGTCCCGGGGCCCACCAAGGTCGGCACCGCCTCCGCTGTGGGGGGAAGAGAGGAACAGTGAGACACAGCTCAGCACCCGCACTCAGATACCCTGAGTGGGGGTCGGCACAGTCCCTGCAGCTCGGCCTTCATGGATCTGCAGTCTGCAAATGTACAGGGCCCTGTCCTACATGCAAGGACGTGAAAAGAACACGCTTCTTCCGGGAAGGAACTCACAGTCTAATACATTCGTGTTTTCCTATCAAGAGAGTAAAAAACCCTACCTGCATTCTGTCATTCAAAAAGCATTCCATGGACATTAAATACCCAAGCCATTTCCAACATGAAATATGTAATAATCACCCAAATTCTCCAGTAGGTCTATTTACTCCTATTTCCAGGGTACCTAGCAGAGATCAGCCTGCCACGTTTTACACCTATTCAGCCATTCCACAAGCCCAACGGCCCATGACACAGGCACTACTATCACGCCCAGTGTACCATTGCGTGAGTCTGAAACTCCAGCGAATTTTGAAAATGCATCAGAGGAAAAAGACGTTTTAGATGAGTTATTTGAATAGTTTAAGTTATATGATTTAAGCCAACTGCTGGATTCAGTTACTTTCATGCCTTTGTTATTTTATGCCTATTACATTTTACTAACTCCCTGAAAGGTAACTTATGGATATTGTCAATGGGGGTTTCTTTTCCTTTACGAAGAGGTGGTTGAACTCCTAATGTCCCCTTTCCTTCCACTGCTAAAGACTTAATTCACACTTATGGACTGTCTTAAGTGTGTAAGTATAACATTTATTAGATCAGCCCAAATCAAAGCTTCAGTAGAACTGGTGCAGCGAAGGAGGTTAGAACTAAAACTTACTTCAGAATTTTTTAATGTAAAAATACCTTTAACTATTAATGGAAATGTGCAATTTTTAGTAAATAAACTAAATTCATAAAGCATGAATGGTTCAAAATTTTTATTTTTGTGAGCTTCCTGTAAAACCTTGATTTAAGAAACAATAAAAAAAATAACTCTGAATCACAAGGTACAAAATGTGGTGAATAAGTACCTCATCATTTGCAAGAGGAAGGTGGTTCTATAACCACCACCACCAAAGCCAATGTTAATAATAGAACAAAGCTTTATTAATTTGGCTTTATTATTTCTAAAAACCGTTACATTTTTTCTCTCTCTCTCCCTCTCTCTCTCTGTCTGTCTCTCTCTCTCTCTCTCTCTCCATATAAAGTCGCCAGCTACCTCAGAGCACTCCGGTGAAAATTGCATGAAGCCAGGGTAATTAAACTGATAAAGGCTCATTTGATTTCAGTTCAGCTGCTGGAAACTGACATGCATTTAATCAAAAAGTTCCTCAAGAGCAATACAGAATTACAAAGAACGCTTAAAAGGAGAATGAATTAAGCACAACTAAATCTTTTAGCCTAACTGCATTATTCACACAAAGCACTCGACGACTCATTATTTTCTTAGCTTAACTCCCCTCTGTTCTAACCCTCTGGATGCATTCCTATAAAGACACCAGCATATGGATACAAAGCTAGAATTTCTCAATTGTGAGTTTTTTGGTTTTTAATTTTTTTTGCCATCATTTCAGGTAAATGATGTCCTAAGACACTTCACAGAAGTCTAACTTCTTCAGACTGTGACTAACCAGGCCTTGTGAACTTCCTAAGACCCTCTGGGAACCATTTCCCCACAGCTACGCGAAGGGACGCTGGGAAAGGCGAGATCTGCCAAGCCACCCTGAGGGCCCATGCAGCCTGACACCTGGCTGTTCCACATGCCATTTTGGCCTTTCCCCTGTTTCAAGAATAACCAGGAGGGAGGAGGTGCGGAACCAGAAGTTAGCTACTTCCCTGACAGATTACACACAATACCAACATGAAACGTTCTCATGGTTCTCTAGTCTCAAGACATTGGACTTGGGGAGATCTAATCATCTGCCTCTCACTTCTGCACAGAACTTCACAGTTCACGGGACGCTGTGCCGGCATGATGATGTTTTATCTTCCCAACAACTATGAACCAAGCACTGTCACTGGCAGAGTCTCAACTCACAGAGTCTTTTCCTCACTGGTTCCTGTATCGCTCACCTCAACGCAGAAATGATTTTCATCACTGCACTCTGTACTATGTCCTTGGGCGAGAGGTCAAGGGGGCCCACAGCCACCGCCAGCAGCTGCTGAATCATCGCCAGAGGCTGACCGTCCAAACACATGGCCACGGCTTGATCGTGAAGTTTCCCTCTTTCTGACCGGGAGAGATCATAGAGGTGACTGTATTTCTGCAGTATTTCCTGGGAATAAATAAATAAATAAACAAATAAAGTGGAATTCAACTTCTACATAGCCCAAAGCAATTAAATGTCTACATGTACACAGAGAAGTATCTAGAAGCTTCTCAAAGCAAATACAGGGCAACCTAGTACCTTTAAGTCCAGCCTCCTTGAAACAAACGGCTGTTTTGATAATGACCCTCTTGGCCCAACACACTGTTCTACCCACTGAAAGACCATACATGTTTCAAGGAGAGTAGTGACAATTCTCCGATTTGAATATGATATATTTGCTTTAAAAATAAATAAGACAAGTATTTAAATTTTTAATCAAAATTGTTCCACTAATAAGTACAGACCACTCGAACAGCCAACGTTTACCCTCTTTCTTGTGACTGTGGGTCACAGCTGGGACAGCCAGTGGCTCCCTATCTCCCTCTCACCATGACTCCATGCTGTGCATCACACAGGCTAACGGGACTGAGAAACACAAGCTGAAGGGACACTGTTACCACACTTCTGATTCTCCCCATCATCTCAGGGGTTTGTGCTTAGAAGTCTCGGGCGGATTTTGAAGTTTTCCAGTTGTTCATTATCTGAATTCCTCTCCACTGACTAACCTTTCTAGTTAGGATTTTTCTTTACAAGCTAAGAATACAATCCCATATAATAAAGAGCTAATATGCTAATTAGGCCAAACAGCCCAACGACCTTCCAGACGTCCTTTCAGACAACCTTGCGGATGAAGCCGGGGCTGTGAGGAGCTGCGAGGGCCGAGCCCCTTGCACAGATTTCGTGCATCGGGCCTTGAGTGCTTAATAAACATGTAAGACCTAAGAAAAATGAACAATGAGGTCAGTGGCCACTCACAGGTTCATTTACTATAGCATTAAATTTTAATTTTAAAAAATGTATACATCTAAACACTGTCTTCACCTACATGAAAACCATGTTCTTACTGAGCTGTCAACTTTTCAGTTACGGGAAAGAACATCTAAAAACCCCACAGCTGTTCCATGTGGCCATTCAGATAAACGCTCCAAAGGCCACCAGAGCTTTCTTGTGCAGCCCTGGCACACGGGGCCTCACACCTCTCCGTGGGCAGCCCTGGCACACGGGGCCTCACACCTCTCCGTGGGCAACCCTGGCACACGGGGCCTCACACCTCTCTGTGGGCAGCCCTGGCACACTGGGCCTCACACCTCTCTGTGTGCAGCCCTGGCACACTGGGTCTCCTGCCTCTCTGTGGGCAGCCCTGGCACACTGGGCCTCCTGCCCTGGCACACTGGGCCTCCTGCCTCTCCGTGGGCAGCCCTGGCACACTGGGCCTCACACCTGGCCATGGGCAGGGTCTCTTAACCTCATGAGTGCTTTCTGAGACACCACAAGGGTCTCAACTGGGGATCAATTTCACTAGCAAAATAATTCATATCAATAATAAAGTTATATTGAAAACAGAATACAAAAACAGAATGAATACACTCAATTAAAATAAAACCTACTGAAACAGGCAGGGTGGCGATTTCTGAATTTTTCTGAAAATTCAGTGGGAAACCTACCATTATTCAGTTAGAGAGCACAGAGCTGCCGGCTAGAAGAGGGCTGTCCAACCAGAGCCTCCATCCTCAGCCTGGCGGCCACCCCCTCCCTCAGGCCTTCTATCTCCTCACCTCTTTCTTCCCAGATTATCAGTGGTGTGAAGTGGCCTAAAATCCTTTTAAAAGAAGTGAAAACTGAATTGACTATCAAGCGATAAAGAAGAGGCGAGAGATAAAGGCTTGAGGACTATTTTCAAGGATATCTGCAAGGTTGAAACCCGACCAGAACTACTAATGTAGCTTTCGAGGGTAAATGAAAGAAAATGCTGACATTAGCCGGGCAGTTGAGCTTCTGGAAGACGTGTTTCTTTCATTACCTGCTCACTGTTCTGCAGAGAAACAATGAAGCTGTGGCTCAGGGTGTCCAGGTGAGCGAGGGATTTCTCCAGATGACTCAAGGCGTCTGCATAGGTCACCTTAGAGTGCCCAGCTTCCTGCACGTCCTCTTCCGGATTTCTTTTCCGCGGCTTCTCAATAAAATGTTTGACTGTCTTAATAGCCTTGTTCGTCATCTCCTTGCGTACTTCCACAGACAGCTTTAAAAAAGGAACGAACAAGAATGAGACAAACCAGCCCGCGCTATTTATGGCGTATTTAATAAGGCATTCAGGAGACAGAGAGAGCAAAGGTGACATTTTAATATGCAACTCAAACCAGTGGGTAGGGCTTTTGTTATGCTAGTTTTTCTCTGGAAGATCATTTGCACTGTTAAATCAGTAAAAAGAGGTTTCTTTTTATATGAGTCTTTTCTTTTAATATACTTTTATTGTTGGCAAGTCCTCTGCTCCAACATCTAAGAACATATACCCTATCAGCTCGGCATGCTCGGTCTAGGCCCACACAGAAGTCTGTGCTTTCTAGAACTTGATATTGGCCACAGGAGGTGAGCGCATATTTTCAGAGTTTCCTTTTTTTTTTTTTTTTTTAACCTCATCACTAGTTTCATCAGAAAAGCTTTTTTTCCTTATTTTTAATGGTATTTAAAAATAACTAAATAACCTGACACTTATCAAGAATATAGAGTGTAAATAAATGCAACCCTAAGTTAATTTTCCTGATGAGCCAGGACCTCTAAGACGCCAAATAATATTAGGAAAAAGATGCAAGGCTTTTATTTCACTGGGCATTTCATTTCACTGGGCATTTGAGTTTTTCACCTCTTAACTTTGTAAAAACAGGTTGATTGCTGAAGGATATTAGCGTGAGTTTAAGAAGTATAAGTTTAACACTGAATTTAAAGTTAGCAAACTTATTTTTTATAAATTCTTCTATGATGGAACAAGCAAAAAGTAAAAGAGAAAAAGATGGACCAAAATGTACCAGAGTAGAAAATGGCAATTTCTTCACTAACCCTAATCCACAAGGTACTTTTATTCTTAGCCGTCTTTTTTGCGAAATCCACAGAATGAACATGTCACTCACATGCATCATTACCATAATAACCAATCAAAGATTTGAAACTATTCCCTGACAGCAATTTGTAATTACTATTCAAAAAATGTGGATTTTGAAAGATAAGTGACTAAATTGTTCTATTGCTCAATAAATAGATAATGAACATCAATTTTCCAGGCCCTGGAAAAATGAGATAAAAATATGAGCCAGGCTTAAAGAAATCACATTTAATATAGGAGATGAGATGGTGGGGTGGGGGTGGGGGAGATTGAGGAGTCACCCATGACATCTGCACATCTCCTTGGGTCTACCTTCAAGATACACCCAGACTCCACCCAATTCCCACCCCTTCGCTGACACCACTCAGCCCCAAGCCGCCATCGCCTCTCGCATATTCCAAGGGTGCTCCCTGGCCTCCCGACGGACGCGGCAGAGGGGTAACCACCACACACACGCAGGCTCCACTGCATCTGCCTGACCCCTTGCGCTGGGGTGAGCCACGTTCCAGCCCACGGCATCTGAACAGAAGTGACATGTCACGTCTGAGCCACTGCGATCAACAACCCGCATGCACTGCTGTCCGTCTCCCTCTGTCCCGGCCATGGCAGCTGGGAGGTGCAGGTCCCAGACCGTAGAGCGTCCTTCGGCTTGGACCCTACGGACGGAGGTACAGAGCTCTCTGCCGCCTCTCACCGGAACAGGAGCATGAGGGAGCCTGCACGCTTGCTGTGTGAAATGAAACCACTGCGACTGGGGGTGGACTGGCCACTCCAGCGTGACAGCAGCAGAGTGACATTTCACAAACAGGATGCCACTCCTCCACTCACGTCCGTTCATGCTTCCCAGTTCACTAAGAATAAAAGCCAGTCTCCGAAGCCTACAGGACCTGCTCTTCCCTCACCTCACCTGCCTGTCTCACCTCCACCCCTTCTCCACTGTCCCTCCACTCCCGGCACCCTGGCCTCCTGGCCTCACTCAGCGCCCTTCCACCTGCTGGTGCCCTGACTGCAAGTCCTCCCAGGAATCCTCCTGGCTGGCCCCGGTGCTGCCCTCGGGGCTTTCTCCTGACCCACCGTTAGCTTTTTTCCTTTTTTAATACATTTTTATTGATTTCAGAGAGGAAGGGAGAAGAGAGAGATAGAAACATCAATGATGAGAGAGAAGCATGGATCAGCTGCCTCCTGCAGACACCCTACTGGGGACTGAGCCCGCAACCCACGCATGCGCCCTGACCAGGAATCAAACCAACCTACTGGTTCATAGGTCAACGCTCAACCACTGAGCCACACTGGCTGGGCTCGGCGTTAGTTTCTTTCTTCACAGCTGACATTGAGCTTCTATCTGCTACTGCCTGTCACTGTTACCTTCACGGAACCCGGGCGGTGGCTCAAACACAATGAATGCCCCATTTGTTGAATGTATGGTGGACAGATGACAGTATTTAGAGAAGACAGAAGAGCAAACCAGAGCTGCAAGGTGGGAGCTCAGGGTGGGTGTAGGACCCCCAGGAGCACTGCATTCAGACCGAGCAGGGCCGGGCAGGTCTCTGCTACACGCTCTTGTGTTTGTTGAGCTGGTTGGTTTTCACGATGCTTTAGGAAGACCTAACACCCAGTCTCAGCTAAGGGCTGTGACAGAACGGGCCTGGGCTGAACTTGACCTGTAGGCCGTAGTTCACCGGCCCCTGAGCTACAATACAGAGAATCTACGGTTGGGAGATGAACTGAGAAGAAGCTGTAAACGGCCTCGGGCGCCCGGCTGGCTGCACAACCTGCACACCGGGAATGCGGACGCCACCGCGGCAGCTGCACAGAGGACAGTGACATGGACTGTCTCGCTCGGTCCCCATTTAAAAACACTCTGTAGGAGAACCTTCCTCCAAAGAAATACCGGAAACTGCAGGTTCCGAGGGGAAAAGGTCATCGTTGCTCAAGCCTCCCTTCGTGGGTCCTTCCAGATCAGCTCAGAGTTCACGCTCGGGACGCCATCGCCCCTGACACCATCTCAGCCCAGGCACAGGCCTCTCCCACGCCTCCCTAAGGCACTCCGCGCTCTCCCAGATCCAAGAAAGGTCCCACTGCATTCAACCCGTCTGCTTATTTGTGCATCTCCCTGACTAAACAACAAGCCCCTTCAGGGCAGAAGCTGTGCTTCCTAGGTCTCTGCATCCCCAGCCCTAACACGCTGTCTAGCCCATCACAGACCAACGGGAACATCCCCGGCCCTAACACGCTGTCCAGCCCATCGCAGGCCAACGGGAACATCCCCGGCCCTAACACGCTGTCCAGCCCATCGCAGGCCAACGGGAACATCCCCGGCCCTAACACGCTGTCCAGCCCATCGCAGGCCAACGGGGACATCCCCGGCCCTAACACGCTGTCCAGCCCATCGCAGGCCAACGGGGACATCCCCGGCCCTAACACGCTGTCCAGCCCATCGCAGGCCAACGGGAACATCCCCGGCCCTAACACGCTGTCCAGCCCATTGCAGGCCAACGGGGACATCCCCGGCCCTAACACGCTGTCCAGCCCATCGCAGGCCAACGGGGACATCGCAGGCCAACGGGGACATCCCCGGCCCTAACACGCTGTCCAGCCCATCGCAGGCCAATGGGGACATCCCCGGCCCTAACATGCTGTCCAGCCCATCGCAGGCCAACGGGGACATCCCCGGCCCTAACATGCTGTCCAGCCCATCGCAGGCCAACGGGGACATCCCCAGCCCTAACACGCTGTCCAGCCCATCGCAGGCCAACGGGAACATCCCCGGCCCTAACACGCTGTCTAGCCCATCGCAGACCAATAGGAACATCCCCAGCCCTAACACGCTGTCTAGCCCATCGCAGGCCAACGGGAACATCCCCGGCCCTAACACGCTGTCTAGCCCATCGCAGACCAACGGGGACATCCCCGGCCCTAACACGCTGTCTAGCCCATCACAGACCAATAGGAACATCCCCAGCCCTAACACGCTGTCTAGCCCATCGCAGGCCAACGGGGACATCCCCGGCCCTAACACGCTGTCTAGCCCAGTGGTCGGCAAACTCATTAGTCAACAGAGCCAAATATCAACAGGACAACGATTGACATTTCTTTTGAGAGCCAAATTTTTAAACTTAAACTATATAGGTAGGTACATTGTTATTAACTTAATTAGGGTACTCCTAAGGCTTAGGAAGAGCCACACTCAAGGGGCCAAAGAGCCACATGTGGCTTGCGAGCTGCAGTTTGCCAACCATGGTTTAGCCCATCACAGACCAAGAGAAACATCCCTGGCACCTCACACGCTGTCTAGCACATCGCAGACCGACAGGAAGTAGCTGCTGGGTACTGATCATCTCTGATCAACAACAGGGGAAAGACCCTTCAAGAAGCAATGAAGCCGAGACCGGTTTGGCTCAGTGGATGGAGCGTCGGCCTGCGGACTGAGGGGTCCCAGGTTCGATTCCGGTCGGGGGCATGTGCCTGGGTTGCGGGCACATCCCCAGTGGGAGATGTGCAGGAGGCGGCTGATCGATGTTTCTCTCCCATCGATGTTTCTAGCTCTCTATCTCTCTCCCTTCCTCTCTGTAAAAAATCAATAAAATATATATAAAAAAAAGAAGAAGCAATGAAATGACACGTGCTGACGTGTCCCTAGAAACGTGTGTTCAGAATGTGCCGGAAGGCTCCGATTTACTCTGCAAAACCCTGTTCCTGGCCGAGGGCCCCACGAGCCTAAAACTGGGAAAGGGCATTTTAAAGGACTTGAAACAAAAAACAACAACAACAACAACAAAACTGGGGCCAGATGCCATTGGGACAAGGACATTAAACTAGCGATGACTTTCTGTTCATTCATTCTATAGACAACATCCCCTGAGTGGGTGCTGCACGCTGGGTGCCTTGGGCCGTGCTGGGCACACAGACAGGGCTAGATCAGGCCCGCCCCGAGGTGGTCCAAGTCTGGCTGAAAATGCAGGGAAGCATGATCCTCATAAGCCTACACCAGGGTCAGTACAGGATGCTGTGGAGGGTCCTGAGGCGCCCTTGTCCCCACGGGAAGGTTGTAAAGGAGGCTACATGTCAGGAGAGTCCTCGGGCGTGAGTGGGCTTTAAGACAAGGGGAGACTGCCAAGAGGTCTCCGGGCCTGGGAGGAAAG